TCTTTAACCCTTTTTTTTCCGTATTTTTAAGTTCTGATTTTTTTTTTTTTTTTTTTTTAACTAAAGCTGCGTTTACCCGCAAGATTAAAATGAGTCATTTGATGTTTTGAGAAAACAAATATTTTCCTGCAGTGAAAAGACAGCCTTGCTTCAGTTCGTAGCTCTCTTGGTTGTCTTGACCCCATCCTAAGGAAAGATAACAGGCTAGGTAGATTACGCTTTCATTTATCCCTATTTTTTCTTTGCTTGTAATGGTAGAAGAGTTTGAGCCTGTATTATAAGAAACAGTTATGCAAAGTCAGTTAAATTTTAGTACAACATAAAATGTTCTAGTTTCTCGTGGAAGAGACTGGGCTTAGTTAAACTAGGAAAGGGAAGGCGTAGTTTGCCAAGGTCAATTAGGTAATGATTAAAGTCAGGAGAAATGTGTCCAGTAATGATGAATTTCCATTGGAGGCAATGGCAGGGATCTCTGTCATTCTGTGTGATAACCTTGTGTGAGTTGTTTTTTTTTTATATGTATTTTTAATAACCCAGGAGGAATGGTGTGCAAACGTTACTACTTTGAAGAGCGCTAAGACCAAAAATGACCCTGATAAAATGATGATTATTTTGTACCCAGGGTGCTGGCACAGCTATTGGAGAGCTACCTCCATACTTCATGGCTAGGGCAGCCCGACTCTCTGGTGCTGAGCCTGATGATGAAGAGTACCAGGAATTTGAGGAGATGCTGGAACACGCAGAGGCTGCACAAGTAAGAACACTGCTAGACAGCAGGATGCATGCATGTAACACAAAACACAGCCCCATTGAGATGCCCTAGACAGCTGTGCGCTGGCATAGAAAACAGCCCACGTGCCTTCGGGAGAGACTGCCTGTAAGAAAGACCTGCACTTAGACAGAGCCTGTGGTGAAAATTGAAATAGAGTGTATCGTGGGGCGAGGCAGGGATGTGTTCATCCAGCCACAGTAGGTAATGGCCAGCAGGTGCTTTTACAGATATAGAGTGGTAATGGGAAGAAAGTGGGGGCCCACGGAGAGGAGGGAGGCTGCAGTGGATCAACTGCACTGATGAAATAGTCGGACCAGCTGAGCAGCACAGTCAGCCAGCACGTTCCCACTAGATGCTACTAACCTGCCTGGTCCCGCTCTGCCTGCACTGCCAGTGCCTTGTCCTCTTCAGCAGCCTGAGGAAATGCATTTTTCCTGATGTGAAAAGACAGCCGAGCTACGTGAATTTTCTCTCAGATTGTGCTCTTATTCCTCTTCTCTTTCTTTATGGGTTAAACAGCTCTATGCTTTGCAGCTTCCCCCCCCCCCCCCC